TTTTTTTTTGGTGGTGGTGCTGGGGATCAAACCCAGGGTCTCATGCATCAAGTGCTCAACTACTGGAGCCACATCCCTGGCAGATTTTTTTTGGTGCCCCGAATTGACCTCAGGACCTTGCACTTGCCAGGCAGCTGCTGTACTGCTGAGCTACATCCCTGGCCCCTGGCCCCGAGACTCTTTTTTTTTTTTTTTTTTTTTTAGGCGCTGAGAGAACGCTTTTCTTTTAAAATAGTTTTAAAGTTTTCAAAACTCTAATTTAAAAAATCAAATCCTTTGGGAACCACCAGAATGCCCTCCACCCCCGCTAACCCCATCTTGCAGTCTTTCTGTTCAAGGGAATGTTCTCAGATTTCAAGGTAAGCAGTTGGTAAACTGTGACCATTAGCAACTCTTGTCCAGAGGACTTTTCTTCACTGTACCCTGCGACAAAGCGAAATCCGCAAATCACCTGCATGCTGGTCTGCTGTGACCGCAGCTACCGTAAGTCCCAGTTTAGAATGTTTGTCTTCCCAAGCAGCGGTGTGTTCTCATTAGTCATCTTTAGAGTAAGCAAATATTAGAGTTGGGCAGGCCGGGGATTCCTCTTCTTAGCCACACACTTTAGGGTTTTCATATTTTTTAATGGGGGAATTTCACTGATTTTGTTTGGGTTTTGTTTGGGTTTTTTTTTTTTTTTTTTCGTTTTTTTCTTTTTTGAGACAGTCTCACTAGGTAATTCAGGCTGACCTGAAACTTACTGTAGTCCAGGCTGGCTTCGAATTCATGATCTTCCTGCCTCAGTCTCCTGAGTGCTGGGATGGTAGGTGTGCGCCATGAACTCCAGTTCTCGTGGGTCATTTTAGAAGGAAAAGAAGACGGGGCTGGGGATATAGCTCAGTGGCATAAGTGCCTGCCTGGCAAGTGCAAGGTTGTGAGTTCGACCCCCGGTACCACAAAAAAAAAAAAAGAAGGAAAAGAAGACTAGAAACTCATTGGACAGATCCCTAAAAGCCTTCCGGCTCTTGGTTTCCCTGATTCTGTGCCGAGCAGTGTGGGTCCCCAGCCCTTTGCTCTCCCTCTGTGCTGATTCTTAGGGCTGTTGTCACTCCAGTCATCCAACCCTGAACTCTTTTGTATAGGGTGAATGTACCAACCTTTTTTAGTTCAAGTTTGAGAACCAGCCTGGCTTCTCTCCTGAGTGAGTGAGTGTGTGTGTGTGTGTTACTGGAGATTGAACCTGGGCCCTTTTGCACTGAACTATATCTCCAGCCCTTTTGTTTTTGAGTCAAGGTCTTAAGTTGCCCGGGCTGGGCTTTAATTTGCAATCATCCTGCCTCAGCCTCCCAGAATTCTAGATTATAGGCTATGCCACACTGTGCCTGGCTTCATCTGAGCCTGTTATGTACTATTCATAAATTTGCCTAAACCTTTTATGTACCCACTTATTGGTGCTGCCGGGGTAACCTCCTAGCACATGGAGCCCACATCTATTACAGCCACCTAGATGCCCCCTCCCGTCCTCCTTTCCAGCTTGACTGCACTGAGGTGACAGTTCCCTGCAGCCTCTGTGGCCTCACAGTCAGAGTCTCCCCTCTGTCCTAACACCTGGTGTGAGCAGTCCCAGCTCTGGGCTAATTGGTGAGTAATCTGATTCCTAAAGGAGAGAATTCTGGAATATCATGCAGAAAGAGCACACAGGATAGCTGGATTTGGGCTGGCAGGAAGCATCCTGCTAGAAGGAATATCTGTAAATAGCACATCAGTTGATCAAAATAGGCTCAAAAACTACTGGTTTCCCTAAGAGTAGACTGTTTTCCTTTGTAAAAATTGTACTGTTAAATAGCTTCATGTGCTTTATTCTTGGGCAGAAGCAGGGAGGCCAGTAATTTAAAATAAGCATTGTAGTGACCTTTCCTGTCACTTGGGCAAAATACCCAGCACCCACAACTTAAAGGAGGAGAGGTTTATTTTGGCTCGAAGTTTTAGGCCAGGTTTAGCTGGCTCCCAGGCAGAAACCGGATGGATGGCAGAGGGTCACAGCGGAAGGGAGCTGCTCACGTCATGACGGCCAGGAAGCAGGGAGAGAAGGGAGGAGCCAGGGAGGACGACGCGTTCTTCCAGGTCAGGCCCCCAGTGACCCTCATCCAAGCAGCCCTACCTCCTAGCAGCACACACAGATCCTGAATTCATCGCCCTCTACACACATGAGAAGTTTGATCGAAACCGTAACAAGGAAGCATTGGTTTTCATGACTGCCTGATCAGTCCTGTTCTGTCCTTACAGATTGTTCTCTGGGGCCGGACGGAAAAATGCCTGAAGGAGACAACGGAGGAGATTCGGCAGATGGGCACCGAGTGCCACTATTTCATCTGTGACGTGGGCAACCGGGAGGAGGTATACCAGATGGCCAAAGCTGTCCGGGAGAAGGTCAGTGTCCTGGGAGGGTCTGGGTTCACTGTGGCAGGACACAGGGTAATGCCAGGCAAAGAGGACATGCCCACACAGCCAGGGAGAGCGCTTCACTTATGGCAGAATGGCACTGTGCAACTTTGGGGAGTTGGGCAACTCCTGTGGAGCTGGTCCAGGTTACACGAATAGGGACTGGGCTGATTATACCACAGGAGTTGTCGGCTGTTGTCCCCTTGGAAGTTGAGGCCCTCTAGGTCTAAACTGAGAGACAAATGTCCCATTGCCTTCTGGGAAAATCCTCCTGACTCTAGGTGTCTACCTGACTGTGTATCGGTGAATCCCAAGAGAGGAACAGCTACCCCTATAAAGTATTTGACGCATAGTAATGTTAACTATTTTTATGTAATAATAACCTCATTAATTGTACATGTACTATATCCCGGGTATGGTAGGTGCCATAAATTATTTCTAATCCTCAGAACACAGCTGGTTTGGCACTACCACCATCTTATAAGCAAGACTGATGCTCAGACAGGTGACAGAGCTTCCCAAGGCCAAGTGGCTGGGGGCGGTGGGTTCTGGTCTGTGCCCCTACAGGTGCAAGCCACCAGGGCTGGCCGTCCTCATGGCCCCTGGCTCCCTCTTGTCCACAGGTGGGTGACATCACCATCCTAGTGAACAATGCTGCCGTGGTCCACGGAAAGAGCTTGATGGACAGTGACGATGACGCCCTCCTCAAGTCCCAGCACATCAACACCCTGGGGCAGTTCTGGGTAAGGGCTGGCCTGACCCCAAGCCAGCTCTGGGTATGAGGCAAGCTGGGAACAGAAAGAGAGACTGAGGCTAATAGGGACACCCAAGGACAAAGTGGCCACGCAAGAGGAGTGACTGGCCCCAGGAGCCACTGGCTTTCTGATCTGTAAGCTCAGTGTCTGCAGCAATGGGCTCTTGCCCCCCTGCCTTAGGAGGGCATGGTCACTACAGTAGGGTGTGTGTCGGGGGCAGGCTGCTCTCCCCAGGATGGGGTGGAAGGGTTGGTGGAAGTTGCGTCAGCACCACACTGACCCCCTGTCCACCCTCAGACCACCAAAGCCTTCTTGCCTCGCATGCTGGAGCTGCAGAATGGCCATATCGTGTGCCTCAACTCCGTGCTGGCGCTGTCTGCCATCCCCGGGGCCATCGACTACTGCACATCCAAAGCATCAGCGTTCGCCTTCATGGAAAGCCTGACCCTGGGGCTGCTGGACTGTCCAGGCGTCAGTGCCACCACTGTGCTGCCCTTCCACACCAGCACGGAGATGTTCCAGGGTATGAGGGTCAGGTCAGTGCTGGGGACCAGCCTCCTTCTCTGAGCCGATGCAGCCAGGGGCCTACAGGGAGAGCTATGCCATAAATATACCCAGAAACCTCGGCCTTATGCTCTGGTGTCTGATTCTCCACCTGTAAGGCTGTGGGATACTGTAGTAGGTTAGGGTCCTACTTCTTAGTTCAGGGCACTCATCAAAGCACCAGGACTGAGTATGTGCCGTGTTCATGCCGCATAGGTACCGTGGAATACTACTACACAACAATAGAAAGAACACAGAGTATTGATAGGTGAACAGCTCTGTGAAGCTCACAAGCACGATGCTGAGTGAAAGAAGCCAAAAAACAGCCCCTTGTGTGTGATTGATTCCTCCCGCATGATTCCCCTTGTGTGAAGTGCTAGAATAGGCAACATGATTCCCCTTGTGTGAAGTGCTAGAACAGGCAGTAGCTTTGGTGCTAGAAACCAGAGCAGTGGCTGCCCCTGGCAGGGGTGAGGACAGAGCTGGGAAGGAAGCAGAAGCAACATCCCACTTTGGGATCCAGGTGATGATTAAATAGGTAAAAGTTAAACTAAAAAATTATTATAATAGTATAGCAATACTATTACTGCAGAGCTGGGGGTGTAGTTCGAGGCTAGAGCACTTGCCTAGCATGCAGGAAGCCCAGTGTTCAATCCTCAGTACTGAAAAGATAAAAAGGTAACAATGAACCAAGCTGTGTGCTCAAGACATGTGCCTTTATTGTACGCCAGTAGAGCTCAATGCAAAGAAAAAGAGGCCCAAGCCCTTTCTGTCCAGGACAGTCGCAACAGAGGGAGTTGAACCTCTGATTTGAATTCAGTGTCAGGAGTCCAGTATCTAGGCAGTGGCTACCTCATAGTTGTGTTGTACTGAATGGCGGTGGGTCAGGTTCATTACTGGGCTAGACTTCATTGCTGATCTGTAAAATGTGCTGCTGACGGACATCACAGGTGGTGAGGCCAAAATGGCATCAGGGCAGAGCGTCGTATGTGCTACGCATTAACCGCCCAATAAATAGCATGCTGATGATGTGCACAGGGCGTAGGTCAGATAAATAGAAACTAGGCATTCTCCAAAAGCTATTTTGACCATATGTTTTGCTGCGCAGCATGTGATGATCTGCCTTCTGAATAAGACGCTTCAGCTTCTTCCAGACATGAGGGTGACGTGAAAGGAACTTCATGAGAACTCGATGAGACAGCTTAGCCGGGACACCTTAGCGGGGCATGCAGGAACCGCTCAGTGAACCTTGGTGGATATTCACAGAGACAGTGTGGCTTGGGTGGTCAAATCAAAAATGCCTGATTTTGAATCATTCCCCAGCTATTCGGCAGTTGTGAAGCTTGGGGCTTGTTTTATAACCTCTCTAAGCTTCACTCGGCTCCTCTGTAAGATGGGGGAAATAATATTTACCTTGTAGGATTACTGGAAGAACTGGAAATAACACAGTTAATGCGTTAGGTACAAAGCCCAGGACATCTTTGTATAAATGCTATTAATATTCCTTCATAGTTTTTTTTCCCCTTTCTTCAGAGCTCAGTTTGGTGTCTCTTCATCTGAGTATAGGAGAGGTGCTCAGTAAATGTAGGTTGGCAGTGGTGATCTCCATTTTAATGGGAATGCCCTGGGTGCAGAAGGGGCAGGATATTCACAGCCATTGCATTTGTGTGTCTATTTCATTTGCTAACGTCTTCCCCCTCCACCATGTTAAGAAGGAAACTCAAGGTTTCCCTAAGTCATTTTCCTTAGTGGGTCAGAGTGTGGACCTACATGGCCTGGAGTCCAATCCCAGCTCTACGTGACCTCAAGAGAATTACTTGGGTTTTCTTTGCTTCAGTTTCCTCATCTATGTAAATGGATTCATAACAGAATTGCTTATTTCAAGGATTGGATGAGCTCATGTGTGGGAATCGACTAGCAATGCCTGCCAGGGGGTGTGTACTAGATGAACTTTAGTTATCTGCAGGAGCACCACTGAGTCCAGGGGATTGGCTGGAAGCATGGGGCAAGATGTGTAGCTAGCAACTACTACAAGAAAAGAAGAAATGAAAGGGAGGATGGGAAAGAGAGAGAGACAGAGAAAAAGAGGAAGAAGAGGGGAAGGAAGAAGAAGAAGGAAAAGGAGAAGAACGGAAGGAAGGGAAGGAGGAAGGAAAGATTGGTTTCTTACTGCAGCTAAGCTTAGCAGCTTCCCAGGGTTGAAGGTGGGGAGCAAGTTGGACAAAATTGATGGTTTCCCACTAGCCACAGCAGTGGGTGCCGTTGTTTGTAAATCACTGTTTACTGATTCACTGTATATTCCAGCCTCACTCCCAGACACGTATGGCCTCATAGCAACCCTGAGAGAGCTCTTATCCCCACTTTATTGACGAGGGAATGGGGCTGAGAAATTAGTTACAGCTAGAAGCTGGCTGCCTGAGCACACTTTTACCAGGAGTTGGCGTGACCTCCGTGAGAGTCCAGAGCTCCACCAGTGCCCCAGACAACCATCCCACCTACCATGGAGAGAAAGGAGAAAATCCTACCAACAGGCAGGCTTGAGGCTCCTTTGCGGTTTTCCTGTGGGGTCTTACTGGGGGTCCCCACAAGCCCATGGAGCTTGTCCCATCCACCCTTCATCTCTTCCCCAAGAGGCAGAACGGGCAACAGGCAGAGGGAGAGAGTCCAGTAGCCACTGTGTCTATGGAGCACCAGGATCGGTTCCCATTCATTGCACATGTTCATACGTGCCAATCTCTGCTGAACCCGGAGGCTGGCCCTTCTTGACTGCGGACCACTTAGACACACTATCGTGACATGCAAAGGAAACCAGGGCAGGGGTGAGACTGTGGAGCCCAAAAACGGCTCAGGAATGACTTCAGACCCAGTGACTCACCACCCTTAATCTTCCCGGTGCCAGGGCAGATCACACAGCCTTTGTGCGACCGAGGTCAGAGCCAGCGGCACTGGCCTTGCGCCTACAGCTAGGGAGGGTGGCAGGAGCAGGGCATGAAGGCACCAGGGCAGTGGCCTCGAGCTCCTGCAGGCCCAGTTCGCCCACTCATCACCTGAGCCTCTGTCTTCTTATCTGCCAGTCGGAGAGGATGATTCATGCACAGGCCTGGCCCTTATGAAACAGCATCATTGCTGGGCCTGGGGTGAGAAGCGTCTGCATAGGCACCGGAAGCCCCTGCAATCATCCATTCGTTTAGAAATTCATGGAACGCACTCTGCAGATGTTTGAATGAATCCGTGTCTCACTCAGTACATGAGAAACCACGCCTCCAGGTAGGATAAGCAGGGCACTTTGGAGAACAGCAAACGGATCTATGTTCATCCTCTTAGCAAGTATTTATTGAGCACCTGCTGTATGCTAGAGGCTGAGGATACAATGGGGAGCAAAACTGACCAGGCTGCTACCCTCGTGAAACTTATGGTCTGAAAGGGGCCACAGGAAGAAGGAAACAAACATGGCCACTCCAGATGTGATAAGTGCAGTCAAAGGGATTAGCAGGGAGTTGAGATCAGAAGTCACTGAGGGTGACGGTGACGCTGCTGAGAGGCCTCCCAGGGTAGGATCTGGCAAGAGTGCGCCTGGCCTAGTTGTTGGACAACTAGTGAAAGGCCCAGATCTCAGAGCTTAAGGTGACAAAGACAGAAAGGCCGGCTGCTGGGTGAAAAGTGCTTGATTCCCGGGAGAGAGTCCTGAGAGCTGGGACCTCTGCTCTCGGGTCCCTGGGCTGGAGGAGTGAAGGGATGTGAAAGTCCAGCAAGTCTGGGCTGGGGCCGCGGAGGCTGGAGTCTCGCACACAGGAGAGACCAAAGGAGGCGCCCCAGATGTGGAGGCTGCATAGCAGCTTCCGGCAGAAACCCTTGCGCTTGGAGAAATCACTGTGTCTCTTCCTGCCTTCAGGTTCCCCAACCTCTTCCCCCCGCTGAAGCCAGAGACGGTGGCCCGGAGGACAGTGGAGGCTGTGCAGCTCAACCAGGCCCTGCTCCTGCTCCCGTGGAGCATGCACATCCTCATTATCTTGAAAAGGTCTGGGACTGGGGAGAAAGCGGTGGGTCAGGTTCATGGCAAGTACTTCCCCTAGGAAGTCTTCCAGATTGTTCTGCCTGGAAGTGAGCCTTTCTCATCTTGTACCTGAAGTGGGCCAGAGATGCCCTGGTTGATTCAACAGGCAGACTGGGGGCCCCCCCTGTCCCACACCTGTGGGGGCCAGGGATCAGAGATGAAATATCAGCCGCAAAGATGCCTACGTGCAAGATGGACAGGTGAGGGTGAACCCAGGTCATCCTGGAGAAACCCAGGAGCTCTGGGTCACACCCAGGAGAAGCCTGTGAGACACCTCTCCAGAGGATGCAACCCCAAATTGTACCTGAACCCTCAGTCCCATACAGGAAGTCTTTGCCGAGGAAGCGAAGGTTGGAGCTGGTTGATCTCTGAGTGAGATGTAGCCCTAAGATCTGTCTTGGTCTTTTCCATTGCTATAACTAAATAGCACAGACTAGGTCATTTATAAAGAATGCAGGTTCCTTTGGCTCATGGCTCTGGTGGGTGGGATGTCCAAGAGCAGGGTGCCACCTCTGCTCAACATCTGGCAAATAGGACACAGATAGCAGGAAACTCAGTGTGTAGCTCAGAGAGAGAGGAAAGGAGAACAGAGGAGAGGAGAGGAGAGCAGAGGAGAGGACAGGAGAGCAGAGGAGAGGACAGGAGAGCTTGTGGGACCATCAGTCTACTACCCTGCTTCATGTGGCCGCCAGTGACCCACCACTGTCCCCCGCCATACTGACAGTCATCCTTTCTCTCCCCACCCCAGCATACTGCCACAGGCTGCACTGGAGGAGATCCACAGATTCTCAGGAACCTATACCTGCATGAACACTTTCAAAGGACGGACATAGAGGCAGGAGGCAGAGGCATGCCACAGAGCCTGAGGGCCCACAGCACCTGGGCGCACACCCACACCTGTCCGTGGGCTCGTTACTGCTGGGTGAGCTGGTCTGCTGCTGTTCAGGCAAAGACTCTCAACACCTCGGGTCAGCCCCAGGACCTTTGCACAGGACTGATGGGTGCAACTCTGACCTCCACGGGGAGGCAAGAATCCAGTCAGCAGCCACCTTGACACTTTTGTATATTTCTAATTCTGTAGAGTTTATTGTTACATTGCTTCTCAAGTCTAACCAGCCTCAGCCGTGTGCATAGACTATTTCCAGGAGCGTCTGTCCCAGACGCTCCGCCTTCCCCTCCGGAACCCACTCATCTTCAGCTTGTGCAAACTGGTTGAACGGCAGGAATGAAAAATAAAGAGCAATGGCTTTTGCAAGCTCCTTGGTTCAAGTCCTTGGTGGGAAATTGGGAGGAAGCCAGTCCTAAGCACAAAATCCATTGGGAGAAAATTGGTCCATGCAGGGTCCCCAGCTGCCAGGAGGAAAGAAGGGGACAGAGATCTGGAGAGAAATTCGAGCCCAGGTCTGTCAGAGAGCGGCTCCCTACCCACCCAGTCAAGCCCTTCCAGCAGCATGCAGCTTCCCTGGCTGACCATGCAGCACTAGTCCGCAGACGGCTGGCCACCAACTCGGGAAGCAGGGCCAGTCTTTATTGAGCACCTGCTGTGTACCAGCACCGGCTTGGTGCTAGACGAGAACACTGCACAAAAGTTAAATCCCTGACAATGCCAGTACAAGATGACAATATGCCCATTGAGAAAGGATCAGGAAACACAGAACACAGTGACAACTGTACAGGAAGTCCAGTGTGATAGGGTGCCTCGGGTCACTCACCACATTTGACTGCAGGGCAAGGGTGGTCTGAAGAGGCAAAAGGAACTGGCACAGGCTTAGCCCAGAAATCATAGGAAGAGATGCCCCGTGGTCCTCTCTCTGGCCTCCCTGCTGCCCCAGGCTCTATAAATCCACCCCTGGGGGCAAAGAGAGGCAAACAGCGCCTGTCACGCCAGTGGCCTCCCCTCAGCTCTTGCAGGTGGGTGGCAGGAGTAGGCAGGGGTTCCCCCAGAGAGCAGGAGAAGGTCACGGGCCTCTGACTCAGTAGAGGAACTTCCCCAGAGTTGCATAAGCCTGCACTGACACACAAACCTCAGGGTGAACCCTTCCAGCTCCCAAGCTTAGACCCTCAGCCCAGGTGCGTGTCAGTCTGGCCTGCATGTAGAAACGTCGTCATGATCCTAGCCACTGTTTATTGAGCATCTATGGAGAGGCTGCCAGTCCCGTGTCGTCTTCGCTCTGGGACTCAGGTTGATCAAATAGCCTCTATCTAGGACCCAAGTCTTGTGGCTCAGATAGATGCACCTGGTGAACCTTCACTGACTTCAAGTTTCTGCCCGGAAACAAAATGTGTCACTTCTGCTCACATTTCATTGGCCAACGCAGGTCAGGTGACCAAGCCTGCCCTTGAGGCAGGGTAAATAGAATCCTCTGTTCAGAGTGCTTGGCTGTTATGCGCACCCCAGGGGGAAAGGTGTCAGGAGGAAAAGTTAAAATTTAAGCCAAGGGTGGAGGGAAGCAGACGCAAGGACTCAGTGGCTCTCGGGAGCACAAGCAGGTGCTGAGCAGAGTCCTGAAGCGGTGGCCGTCTGCTCACACTTCACAGCACTCTTCCCAGAGGGAATTACCAAACCTCTTTGATAGGTGAGAAGCGGACAGGACAGAAGGAAGACTTGCCAAGGTCTGGACTTTTTTTTTCCTTGCTACTAGGAGTAGAATCCAGGGCACTGTACCCCTGAGCTACATTCCCAGCCCTTTTTATATTTTGAGATGCGGTCTCGCTGTGTAACCCAGGCTGACCTCAAACTTGGAATCCTCCTGCCTCAGCCTCCCAAGCAGCTGGGATTACAGATCTATGTCAGTACTCTGGGTCCAGTCTGGAATTTGAACTCATCTCCACTCACAAGGCCCTTCCTTTAAGACTCTGGCAAAGGACAAACTGCCAAACCCAGACTTGTCACCTTCCTTTTGGTCTTGAAGACATGTGTCGCCAGAGTGTATAGGCGGGGAATTGCCAAAGGGTCTCCTGGGATTGTGCACGCCTGTCCTTTACCCCCCTCCACACACACATACAGACAAGTTCAATCAAGGTGAGTGGGTCCCTCGGGCAGGTGGCCTGTCACTCAGCTCTCCCAGGACACAGCTAGGGGCGGGCACATCCCGGTAGGCAGAGGAGGAGGAGAAGGACCTGGTGGGGTTGTGTCTGATGAGCCCCTATTTTTCTAACCATCCTTGAACAGGCCTTGGAGTTCTGTGCTCAGGGTCTGGCTCCCGGCCGACCTTTTGGAAAGGATTTGACTTCTGAGGTTTCTGTGAAATTGCATTTGGCCTGCAGAGCAGGAACACAGCGAGGGTCCCTGGGGAAGGATGGACGGCGGGGGGAGGGGGGCGGCCAGCCCTCCCCAGGGCCTGCTGAGTGCAAATCGCCCTCTTGGCTACAGTGGGATCTCGGGTTCCCAGAGCCCCAGGGACTTCTCTTGATGGTGCAGCAGGGCCCGGTCACACCCCTACGTGCCAAGAGCTTTCAGTCTCTCTGGATCTTTTCCCGGAGGAATCAGGGGAAAAAGCCTTGGGCAGATTCCCAGGAGGCCGAATTCTGGTCCCTCCCTGGGATGGTTTGGCCGCTTGGGGAGCCTCAAGAGTGAGAGTGGAGAGCTAATTCTGTCCCTGCGCTCAGCCAAGTGAAGGAGAGTGACAAGGGCCAAGCCCCCGAGGGACAGGACAGGGCGTGCCAGCCCTGCAAAAGAAGTCTGGGTCCTGGGAAATGACCCAGTTGCCATGCTTGAGGTTCTTCCAGGCCCCAGAGAGAACCAGATTAGGGTGGGCACCGAGCCTGGGGAGGCGCCAGACCCAAGCCCCAGCCTGGCCCCATTCCAGGGGACCAGGCTATCTGGGCTGGCACAGGGTCAGAAACTGAGTCCCGTGGCCACCACCCCGCTCCCAGGGGCTGATGCGTGGAGAATCTGGCTCTTTCTTCTCCTGCCAGCCCTCAGTCCCATCCCCCCACCGCTTCCCTCAGAGCCCCAACTGAGGGGCGCCATCTTTGCCCTTGGGGACCTCCCAAGTCTGATGGGGGACAAAAATAGAAGCCAGGTCACCTGTACTCTGAGCAACAGAGACGGACCAGCTGGAGACCCACCCCCCACCCTCTGAGATGTGGGCAGCAGCCCAGAGGTCTGTGTTTGTGAGAAGGAGTCTACAGGTACCCCTCACTTCAGCCAAGGCCGGGAGGTGACAGATGTCCCGGATGGAGGCCGGAAGGGCTGGAGTGGCTGGAGCTGTCACCCTGATTGATTTACAAACATTCCTCGACACACGTCTGCGTAAACAAGGCTGCCCACTGAGGGCCAGGGTTGGTTCCTCCTGCGCCTGGGAGCCTCTGCCCCATCTGTCCAGTCCAGACCCCGCCTCGGTCCTCAAGCCCCCACCAGGCCCAGTGCCCAGGCTTTCGCAGGCCCACCCTGAGGCCAGGAGGTTCCCCAGAGGACAGGAAACCCTGGCATCTGGGGGAGGAGTCCAGACTCGGGTCCCACTGGCTTGGTTCCAGTCTGGGCTGTGCCACCTGCTCTGCGTGACGTCACCCCTGCCCACCTGCAGCGTGGGAGTAACGTTCACGCCCTCCTGCCTCCAGGGCAAACCCAGCCTGAGAAGCATCTGTGCACCCTCGGGGATGACAGGATGCGGGTGGCTCCCACAGCTCCCAGCACGAGCCCAACAGCCGTTCAGGACTCCTGGGTCACTGCCCTGACCCGGCCTGTGGTGGCAGCGCCCTTCCGCGCATGGGGCTCCCTTGTGATTGGCAGGGGGGATGCAGCTGCGGCTCAGGAGACCCTAACATGGATGGAGAGTGGGCAAAAGGGTGGCCGCTGGGGAGGGCAGAGCCAGGGGCTCCCCGGCAGGATGGAAGGAGCTTCCAGGGGAACAGGCCGCTGTCCTCCAGTGCAGAGTACAGTGCGAACATGGCAGGACATTTCCAGGACGTTCTCTGACGTCTCCCGCCATCCTTGGCGCTGGACCATGCCTTGGCGCTCACATCTCTCCGTGGCTTGGGAAACATGAAATTCCCCGGAAGTCAGCATCACCCTGCTGGGAAGCTGCTCTGAAAACGGGTGGATCCTCAGGGTGGACGGGGGCTTCCGGAGCAGGACTGCAAAGAAACCCCATCCCAAACCAGTGGAATTACTAGGCTCTCCTTGGCACCCTGCCCCCTGCCCACGCTTCCCTGGGGGTTTGAGGACACTCCTGAAAGGAATAACAGAAAAACACTCAGCAAATCAACTTATCCTGCAAGTGGAAGCCAGACGCTCTGCCGAAGCATTGAGCAGCTGGGAGGAGATATTTCTGCGGTACCCTGAGCATAGACAGTGGGTCCATAAGGTCACTGCCCGGTCAGCCCTCTGCCACCTTTCCCTGCAGCTCCACACTGCATCCCCTGGGCTGCAGAATGACACACCGGGCTCCTGCCCTGGGGCTCTGCACGCATTGTCCTGTCACCTCTGCCTGGAACTCTGCCTCTGTGTCCTCCTCAGATGTCACCTGCCAGTGGTGTCCCACCTGACCAGAATGGCCCTGCTGTTTGCTTATGTCACTTATCAGTCTAGCCAGTCTATATTATTATTATTATTGGCTTTCTTAAGATCTAATTCAAGTGGCTCCCGGTTCACCCACGAAAGCGCCTGCTCTGGGGGGGTGTAGGGGATTACTGAGGCAGGCAGCCAGCACCACCATTCTCACCGGCCCAGAAAGAAATTCTGTAGCCATGAGCAGTCTCTGCCCTTTTTCTTCAACCCTTTCAACCCAGGGCAGCCAGGAGCTGCTCTCTGTCTATGGATCTGCCTATTCTGGGCATTTTGTAACAGTGCAGTCACACAGCAGGTGGCCTTTAGCAATGGCTTCTTCTACTTAGCATGACGCTAAGGCTCCTCTGCGTAGTAGCAACTGTCCAAACCTCACCCCTGTTAAATCACCGTCCGTTCATTATTCTTGGTGGATATTTGGAACCTGTATTACTGAATTGCTTGCTTCGTCTGGTTGCCTGGCTGTCTCTGTCCACCTGGACCAGACCCTTGCTGAGGGCAGGGGCTGTAAACACTGGCAGGAGGACAGCTGGTCCATCTCCAGAAGCAGTTGGCATGGCAGCTCTGCCTTCCTCCAGGGGCACCAGTTCTCCTGCCCACGTACTCTAAACACTTGGGACTCTACACCAGCACGTGCTCAACTGCACTGCCTGGGTCCTGGCACAGCAGCATTCTCTGGCAGGTCGTCTCGGGCACTGTACAAGGCGTGGCATTTCCCTGGTCTTCACTCACTACTTGCCTTTCCT